GCAAACAAAATTATGTTTATTATTCCCACAGAAATAATAAGTTAAATGATGTGTTTGTTTTAGATTCACATTTAAATATTTACACTTATATTTAAATGTATTTTAAAATTTTAATTATAATTACTGCTAATTTCCCAATCTTAAAACAATGCATTTGATGCACACATTAATGCATACACTTATCAAACAATTAAGTTAATTATGAAACACTAGAAATAAAATTAAGATGAAACCAAATTATTTAAAAACTGTATTAATTAACACGTTAAGCTAACTTAAATATTTCTGAGCATTATAAAACAAAATTAAATAAACATGATAAATTAATTAATAAGTTTCCCGATTGATAACAGTGTTTAGTGCACACGTGGTTCATGAGCGCCGACTTTCAGCTCCACATCCTATCTTTCTTTGCGATACTCGCCTTAAGTAAAGCCAAGGGTTTCGGTGTAATGCTGTGCACAGGACTCATACTATGCGGTATTGCTATACCATCGGCGGTCAATCTGAAGACAAACGGACCGCCAATGCCTATGCCTTTCGAGGAACCGGATTTGGATCAGTTCTACCGCGACCTCAACACTCAATACCACCCGACGTATAATCATTTGTCCACATATTTTATCGGTGTTTTGGTCGGCTATCTGTTGACCAGAAGCAATGATTTGCGGCTCAGTTGGCCGTCAAACACGATATTGTGGTTAGTGTTGCCGGTGTGCACCCTATCGGCCACTTTCGCCACATACCTGTGGACAGGGCTCGAGTGGGAGTACAGTAAGGCGACGGCGGCGGCCTATTCTGGCCTACATCGATTTGTGTATATACTAGCGTACGCTTGGCTCGCCATTTACTGCTCAGCTAATAGCAAGAGTAATTTTAATGTTTACCATAATTTAATCACTAAAAAACATTAATTGTATAATTTTTAAAATGCATTTCAGGTCTAATATCGCGATTCTTGAGTTCAAACTTTTTTATACCGTTGAGTCGACTGTCATTTTCTGTATACTTAACCCATATTCTGGTTGTTTGGTATTTCGTATTGGAAACCAGAGAGTTAATTAGATTTACATACACTGATTTTGTAAGTTTATTCTACCATCAATAGTTAACTAACAATTAGATATACCATTAATATAATTTACATTTATATCAAACATTATTCTGTGTGCAAAATATACAGATTTACTCAACCGGTGGCGTAATCTTGTATTCAATGTGTTTATCACTAATACTATACCTCCTGTTTGAGAGCTGTTGGAGTAATGTATTGAGTCTCGCATTGAAGAAGAAACGGATGGATAAGACGGACGACAAGCAAAAGGATGTGACGGAAGAGACGAAGACTAACGGAGGAGGAAAACAATCGCAAATATTTAGCCATAAACTAAATGGAAAGTCCATTGAAGCCGAGTATAACATAAGCAGACATATGGACACCAATAATAATAGTAATCATAATAATAAGAAAAGTCATTGGAAAGCATATTCTGGTGCCGGAAACGCGTTGCCTGAATATAGGGTCCGATCGATGGCCGGCGCCGGCAGTGTCTACATAGATGTGGGACATGTAGGACACGACTCCCAACCCATCAACGCTCACATTAATCAATCGTTTAATGCCTATCAAACCGCTGGCAATACCAAACTTTAACCATGTTTTTGATGTTTTTATGTTAGCTTTTTATGCTAACAATTGTTTGTATAGTATTTTTTGTCATTTAATTAATTTGAAAGCAAAATAATGATTATTAATGATTAGTTAAATTAATGAGTTTAAATAGATTTGTCATCGTTTTGTGCAGATATGCTATTAATTTAATGTATTTTGATTATGATAAATGTGTGTTTAATTTAATAAGAGTATTGATTATATGTTTTTTAATAATACTTTTTAAGGAAATTAATAATTTTATAACTTTGATCACATATTTTGTAATCACAAATTGTAAGAAGTTATCACGAGTTTTAAGTCTTGAGTTTTATTTTTTAAATGTAAGATATATTATTATAAATAAATTAATTTTGATAACATGTGTAATATTGTGATAATATATATTTTAAATAATTTTTACTCAAATTATCTGCCAATTAATTAATAATAATGCATAATATTTTATAATAAATTAACCATATTCAGATGAGGACGTTATAAATTAATCTCCATATCCATATCCACCGCCATCGTCTCCATAGCCGCCACCAGCGCCCCCATCATAGCCACCATAACCGCCAAAACCTCCGCCACCGGTATTAATATAAGTACTATTTTTTACATCGGCCGCCAGTATGTTGGGTATGGTAATCATGGTGACTGGTGGGCCAACCCAACCAACACCGACCCCTCCCGGGGCCCCATTACTCCCGTTGCTTCCATTCACGCCAACACTGACGCCAATACTACCGCCGGACCCGTTGGCGGACACGTTCACAGACACACCCGCGCCGGCACTTCCACTACCGTTTGAAGTGATGACAACAGTCGCACAGTTGGCGTCAAATACATTATAAATCAATAGCAATATTAGTACCAATATTTTATACATGGTTTTGACCACAGAATCTCACGCATATATATATTGGCCCCTAAACATAAGTTGTACGTAAATGTTACTTAAATGTTGAGTTTTCTTTATATTTATCTTAAGACAAAAATACTTGTGTAAAAATATTAATATAAATGTTTAGCAATTGAATGGAAAATTATAATTTACAATACATTTTGTGCAAAATCATAGCAGTATTTAATATCCTGATTGTGTAACTGATTAATTGCTAAATCATACAATACATGTATCTATATTTTAAACACTATTTGCTAACAACAATTAATTAATAAATTATTGCAAAAAGTAATTATTAATTAATAATTAAATCTTAAATAAATTTTTAACATTATTTCTTTCATATTGTGCAATCAATTTATAAACCATTTTTATTTAAATTTAAATTTATTATCTAAATCACTAAATATTTATTTAAATAACTATATATTTATAATCTTAATGGATACATTGTTATTTTAATTATTATTGAAAAATTTTAAAATTCTATAGTAATAAACACCACCTAGGTCAGGCTTAGAATAAATATATTCTTCTATCTGTTTTCAATCTAAAAATAAGTCAACATATTTTTATATAACTATTTTTTAAAATAAATAATTTACATCAATGTCATTTAAGTGCTATTTGCTACGGTTTAATTCAATTATAAAAAGTGTATCAAGGTTTATTCAATTATCTAAAAATAATTTAATAATAATAGACTAAATAAAACACTAATTATTGTAATAAATATATTTAAATTCAATTTTTAAGTATATTAATAGATTATTTAATTATGATAATATTATATTTAATTAATTAACGGATTATACTATAATACAGTGCAACCTCTCCATAAGAAAC